GCCTGCGTGCGCAGCTTTTCAAACGGGAGACAAACAAACGCTCGGACAGACACCACGGTTCGCAATATACATAAGATAAATTATATATTATAATAAACATATATTATTTTTTATTTTATTAATAACAATATGATAGTATAATATATATTACAAATCAAGATTTATAATAATATATGTACGGGATTTTCTTAACTAGTTATCCGACATGAAACATAAACTAGCTGGTTCATATGAATATATTGTATTATCAATTGCAAACATGTTTACCAAGAAAAGTGTCCCTCAGTGCGCAGTGGCATGTCTGCAGACTTACAGTGCTCAAAATCGGGTTTCGATACACATGATGGGTAAAGCACAAATAGCCTATTGTATAGCTTTACGCCTAAGTACAAACAAACAAACCAAGAAAAGTTTCTGCTAGCAAGCCATCGCTGCAGATCGAATCAGCTGAATATGTCAGGTAGCATAGTCGAGCCTAATTAAGTCCAAAACAATACATATAATATTGTTACGTCTCCGTTTGTTAATTGATTTTCCGTAAATTCATTCCGACGAAACTTTAGCGACACAAGTCCTTTCTTAAACAAAACTGGTTTATTCTTTCTGAATATAACTTTGCGATACACTTAATTTCAACAGTCGCGCTATAATTCTCAACGTACGCGCTCGACTCCAACAATACTTAGTTCAATTACACATTCACTGACTGCAGTTCAATTACTCATTACCTTCCTGTCGCTTCGTGGCCGATCTTATATATACAAGACTACACTATATCTAGAAAGATCACGAGATTTAAGGAAAAGACGTGAAAGTTCGAGAATGACGTGGCGTGATACTAGTCACGTGACCTCGATGTCGTAACAATATTATATATATATATATATACAAAACAATATAATTATATACAATATATGAATTATTATAACTTATATTTTACATTAAAAATGTAGCAAGTAGTGCTTTGCATGGACGAAAAATGGTGCAACGCTACCTGCAATCATTGTGAATTTTCAAATGTAGCGTCGATCCAATCGTCGCTCCTAAAAACACAGCGGCGCTACGCACAGCTCTTGCTAACTGCACTGTACTTGCTGTATCCATTGCCGAAAATACGTTTCGCTCCATCCAAATCTCACCAGGCCGGCTGGGACACAACAAACACAGTTGTAGTCAAAACGCTGTTTATATAAGGCATTTGTTATAACAATTATTAGCATGGTCTGAACGCCTTTTTTAAGCTGGCGAAGCATAATTATGACTAATGTACCTATCATAAGAAGTTAGTATTCAGCCTATTAAATATTTGAACACTGCATTCTATATCTAGTACCTTAAATGACTAAAATCGCTGTTATCAACACGCTCGGCACTTTCAATTGTAGGTGTATTTTAAAAGTAACAGTCAGTTTAATTGCATTATTTAATTAGAAGAATTGGACCTAGCCCTTGGAGTGACAAATAAAATTAGGGAAAGCTATACATATCTGAATCCTCAGATTTTCCGATCAGCCATTTAGCTCATGTCGCATAAAGTGCTGTTCAATTCTATCATTATTAATCTAACTTTAATGTTTTTTGTTGTTGATTTTTTTTATCAAACTACCACATTAAATGTGATGAGGTGGTATTTATTATAAAAGTTTTGAATGCATATAACTATATATAGTCTCACATATACGTTCATTCAGTATATATTTGTGAGATAGCGAGTTCCATTTTTTTTTTTTTTACTGTTCATTAACTCTGTTAATAAGTGTTACATTTTATATTCCATCTGTTAGAAAGTATTATTTTGGATTTCTGTGGTTGTCATAGTTTAATAAATTCTTTTTTTTTGTTCGACTCTACTTGTAGCGACTGTTTGTTTTAGTTCGTTATTTATTTGTTTATATCTCTCTCTATATATAACATATCCAAACAGGACGTTGATGGACATGGTCTTTCACAGAAGCACAAATAATTTCCAATATCGATACCTCCATATATGTAGACAGACTCTTGACATAAGTCAACATCTGGTTTCCACGGTTTCTTCTCTCTTCATTTTCTAGTTACGATCAGACTTTTAATTTTTTTTTCTTCATAACATGTCCGAGAAATTCCAACTGTCTTGTGATGTTAGTCAGCAGCTTCCTCCTGCAACCTGATCTTGACAAAATTAATATAACATAAAAATAATAAAGAAATAAATAGATATGAATTTCAAATGATAAAGTTACAACTTATCTGTCAAAAACTTTTTTATTAGTGTGTTCGTGTTATAGATGTAATTCAATTCGTTGTTGCTGCCGTCGTTTTGTTGTTCATCAATACATATTATATCAAGTTTTATGTCTTCAACAGAGGGCTTCATATTTGGTCAAATTTTTCCATTTTAGGCCTAACTGTGACTGAGTGATAAGAGAAGACGTAGTGTAATTGTAAGATTGAGTTAGGTGGAAAGTGAGTCATGTTTTTTTTTTTGTTTCGCTTTTAGTTTTATGGAACATATACAAAGAAGTTTAAACCTAGAGCGCATTACTCATGTTTTCTTAAGATTTCTGACAAATTGACATAGATACTTCAAAATTCAAATACTTTGCGGTTGTTAAACTTACTTATAGTTATAATTTTGTATTTGATTCAGTCTTAAAAAATAAACGTCTTGTAGCTTGCAAGTTGCAATGTATTATATAGCATAAGCCTACGAAAGCACAATTCCACTTATTCAGTTTAACTTGATATTTGCAGTGATGCTTCATTTAGTGTGTGTGGGACTAAGTATAAAAATATCACCTGATGTTTTTTTTTTCTATTTTAATTTAATCTAATTACATAATTGTAAATCATTATATTTTTAAAATTTAACTTATAAATCGTAAATGGAATGTGATTGAGAAACATCGTTATGGTGTGAATCATGAATGCTTTTCTTAGGTGACAAAGTATGATTCTAATTAATTATACCTGATATGACGTATGACCTTAGTATAATTATTAGCATTACTGTTAGGCATATATCTTAAACACCACTGTGTTCACTCAGTCCCTTTGGGTTCTTCAGAATGAATGTAAAAAACAAAAAGTGTTTCAGCTCAAGTTCAACTAAACTATGTCTACCATGTTTATTGTTTGAGATTTTTGGCTTTGCTGTAATTTGCTTAAAGTTTGTAACTTGGTCTAAACGTTAGTCGTTACAAAGTAAATATTAATACTAACATCTTTAGTAATAGTTCTAGTAGTTTCTATGTGTTACAGACCAGTACTGGCAGTAGCAAAAATGGTACATAAAAAGGACAATTTAGTGAATATGAAAATCAGATATTCGTATGCTTACATGGATAATATATATATTGACAGTCAGGATAAATAACTAAAACATGACAATCATAAGATTATAACTTAGCATTCCATATCAATTCTATTTAACTATTTACGATGTAAAATCAGGCTTTGAAACATTTTGACTTAACCATTCAACTATATATTATCATATGTCAACCACAGTCACCTACACTATTATCATATGATGTCAACGTGTAGGTGACTGTGGTTGACATCATATGATAATAGTGTAGGTGACTGTGGTTGACATCATATGATAATAGTGTAGGTGACTGTGGTTGACATCATATGATAATAGTGTAGGTGACTGTGGTTGACATCATATGATAATAGTGTAGGTGACTGTGGTTGACATCATATGATAATAGTGTAGGTGACTGTGGTTGACATCGTATGATAATAGTGTAGGAGACTGTGGTTGACATCGTATGATAATAGTGTAGGATAATAACTATAACAAGTATATCCAGTACTAGAAACTATGACAAGTATATCCAGTACTAGAAACTATAACAAGTATATCCAGTACTAGAAACTATGACAAGTATATCCAGTACTAGAAACTATAACAAGTATATCCAGTACTAGAAACTATAACAAGTATATCCAGTACTAGAA